ATCACCGAAGTGAGATCTGTGTTGACCACCCTTCATGATGCCATACATGGACAGAAACAACTTTGGCTGACTGGCCAGGCCATCGGTCTTATTAAAGTAAAAGCACTCTTACTCTGGGACTTACCGCCCAGCAGATCCTCTATTCAGCTAACTACAGGAAAGGTCCTCACCGGCCTTTTTTCGCACACTATGGTAGCTCGGGGACATCAGAAACGACGAGGTTGCGCCACTACCAAAGGAGGATGCATCGGGGTTCAGCTGCTCATGGGTGTGTTGTGCGCAAGGAAAGCAACCACTCTCGAATCAGCGTCGCTTTCACATCGCCTCCCTCTCTTCATACGACCGAAGACCTCGCCCATCTGGCGTCCGTCATCTCGCTTCAGCAGAATGGCGCTCACACGACGAACAAAGCCTACGCGGCCTCGCTTATTCGACCTCGCAAGCCACGACGATGACGCATCCACATCGACATCCAAAGATCCTCAATTGCCGCTGCAGGCGGAAGGTGCGCTCGAGTCTTTGCGTGCCCAGCCTTCCCAGAAAGACCGTTTTCTTCATCTGGTGAGGCTCGGTGACGAGCTCACGCGTCGCAACCAGCAGCCTGGAGGACTTCCTGACGGCTTTGAGCAGCGAGCGGAGAAGGTGCCCGGCTGCGTGGCTACTGTCAAGGTGCTGGCGACACTCGATGACGATGCCGTGAAGGTCTATGGCACTGCGGATGCTCGCGTGTCGCAGGGCTTGGTGGCTCTGGTGGCGGAAGCTCTGGAGGGGCTGCCTGCGCCACGAGTGCTGGCTGTCCCGCCTGACGCCTTCGCTGGCTCAACTGCTATGGCGTCCTTTCTGACCCCTGGCCGGCTCAATGGGCTCCGCAGCCTCATCATGACCATCCAGCGACAAATCGCGTCACGCGTGGCAGGTGTTGGAGAAGAACAAGAGAGCGAGACCAGCGCATCTGCAGGCAGCGAAGGTCTCCCCCTCGGCCCCCCTTCGTTTGTGCTCTCTGAGGCCGCCGGCGAGGTTGCTGTGCTGCTATCCGGCGGCGTTGATTCGTCCGTGGCTGCTCGGCTGCTGGTGGATCGCGGCGAGCGAGTGCGTGCCTTTTACCTGCGCATATGGCTTGAGGACGAGCTGTCCCATCTGGGCGAGTGTCCGTGGGAAGAGGACCTAAGGTTCGCCCGCGACACGTGCGACCAGCTGAAGATCCCCCTCGAGCTGGTGTCGCTGCAAGACTCCTACTGGGACAGTGTGGTGCGCTACACCATCAGTGAGGCGGCAGCGGGCCGCACGCCCAATCCCGATGTCATGTGCAACACCCGGGTCAAATTCGGGGCCTTCTGCGACGACCACGGCCGGCACTTCAAGAGAGTTGCAACGGGCCACTATGCGCAAGTGAGAAGAGACCAGGAGAACGGGCCTGTGCGGCTATTCCGCTCACCTGACCGCATCAAAGACCAAACCTATTTCCTCTGTGGGCTGTCCCAAGAGCAGCTGGCGATGGCCGACTTCCCAATCGGCACTTTCGACAAGGCCCGAGTGCGTCAGCTTGCCCGAGACTACTCCCTGCCCACAGCCAGCCGCCGCGACTCGCAAGGCATCTGTTTTCTGGGCAAGCTCCGTTGGGAGGATTTCCTGACCCACTACCTGGGCAAGAATCCCGGTCCGATTGTTGATGTGGCGGGTGGGGAGTTGCTGGGTGAGCATCATGGGCTGTGGCTGCACACCGTGGGGCAGCGGAAGGGACTGGGGCCCTACCTGAGAGACAAGATGGTGCACCGGGGGCCCTTCTTCGTGGTCGGCAAAGACCCAGACACCAACACGCTGCTCGTTACCAATGACTATGACGCCATCGACAGGCCGCGGCAAGAGCTGCAGGTGGAGAGCATTGGGTGGATCGCCGGTAAACCGCCCGCATCACTGTCGACCGCCGGCGATGCGATTATGGAGGTGCAGCTGCGTCATGGGCCCAAGACACACATGGCTCGGGTGCGGCTGCTGGACGGGGATGGCGAGTCAGCTGAGGTGCATCTTGAGGAGAAGGACTCGGGCATAGCCCCCGGTCAGTTCGTGGCGTTTTACGCTGGCGACGAGTGTCTCGGCGGGGGACGCATTAGGGAGACGTGGAAATGGAAATGGGATGGGGTGGGGGGCAGGCAAGAAGCGCCTTCGAGCAATGTGATGCTTCTGCAGTGATGGTGTGTCTTGTGGTAGTGAGTGTGTACATATGTATTGTGATGAGACTTGGCTCGAATTCTGAAATGGTTGGTTGATCGACCGACCGATCGACATGACATGCGTCTATCCAGTCGTCAGGCAGCGACAAGGGGCGAGTGAGTGCGGGATGGATATACATGACGGACGGTATACACAGACAGCCACACAGCGAAAAGTCACACGGCGCGCATTCATCACCCAAATATACATTCATGTTGATCTGATCATGTTGCCTTGGTGCTCTCGTCGATTGCTACATGCATGTCCCTATCGATCACGTGAGGAAGATGGCCTTGCCGGCCCTTCGGAAACCTTCAAGGCGACTGTACAATGCCTGCATTACACAAACGGACACACAGAGAGGCACGCACCCATGATGGGATCATACACATTGCATTTCCTGCCGACCTTCCTGTCTGCCGCTTGTTTGAATGCGTTGCCCCACTCGAACCCCAGCTGGGCCTCACGGGACAGCTGGAACACACCCATGGCCTGACAGACGCGCGCAGATGGGTGGACCACATCGAGTCTGTGCACATGGGATGGATACGTGTGTCGGTTTGACCGACCTGGAGTGTGATGAGTGCGTTGTGCAGGTATGGTACACAGCATGCGTCGCCGCACACCAGCTTGTGGCCCTCATACAGACGCTCCCCACTCTTGCGCGACTGACATGCACTCACACACACACGAGCGCGCGCACACACACACAAACACACACAGACACGAAGACACCACCCCATGCGCACAGGTCAGGCGTCGTGTTGTTATTCACCAGCACAGCGAGTTGTTTGAGGTTAGTGAATCGGAATGAGGCCCTCTTCTGTTCGGTCGCCGTGTGGTGCAGGTTGAGGAGTGTGTACACCGCCAGCCACACCGCCTCCAGGAAGGGAAACAGCAACGACACACCCACACTCATTATCGGAACACCTGCATCCACACACACACACACACACACACACAGCTGCGTCCATTCATTCCATGGTTGCGTAGCGCGTTCCCACCTGAAGGGTCGACAGCAAATGTGTCGTCTGTCGGCTGCCGGAGCACGCCGAAGTCCACCATATCGACAAGGGTCTCGTGCAAGTGCCGCACGCCGCCCCAACCATCCCCTCCGGCCGCTATACACATCTGCCGTGGGTGGTAGAACTGCCGTGCGATGAGAGGCAGCAGCTCCCGCACCCCCCTCTCGATCGCCGACAGCTCGATGACGCCCCTGCCGCCGTTGTTGCTGGCCAGGAGGGACATGGCTGGGGCGCGCGAGCGCAGACACGACACAACCACCAACACGACGATTGCCTGACAAACAGCACAGACATGCACACATTGGTGTGTGTGTGTGTGTGTCGGGTAAGTCTGCCAGGTGCCTACTTGGTTGGCGAAGTGGTGGAATATCTGATTGCGATACGGCCCCAGCATGAAGAGAGGCGTCGGCACAGCACCACGACGACCGTCTGGGGATCCACTGCCGTTCCCGGGCCTGCAGCGAACCTTCCACCCATCCCCCTCACGGACGAGCCACTGCCTCAGCAGCTGGCACACATTGTCGACGGTCTGCTCCCACTGCTGGTGTAGCTCGCCCCGCTCGTGCTCCCTGATGCCGTCGGCCAGCGTCAGGAAGGACGAATGCAGCCTCGCACCGCGAATCTTGAGCTCAGAGCCCAACCAACTCGACTGATCAGATCATGGCAGCCCAAACCAAACACCTTTGCGCATCTTTCGGCCCTGTTGGCTGCGTGCCTACCTTGGCGGCCAGCTGAGCGAGCGGGAGGCACGTGGGCTCATGGTCGGGGGGTGTGGGGGGCAGCGGCGTGTAGGTGGCGGATGTGGCACCGCTACTGGCGAGGCGTGCGGTGAGTGTTCGATGCAGGATGACCGGCACCACCACAGCAGAGGGCAGCAGCACCTGCCGGTCCTCCAGACAACGAATTGTGTCCTCAGCCACCCCATCCAACACCTACAGGCACGACCAGCCAAGGCGCAATCGGGTGGGATCGGAATCTCTCCCCTTCCTTGTGCCCCTACTTGTCTCTGTGTAGCTGGCGGCAGTGTTGGCAGTGGTGTGGATGCCTTGGACACTGTGATGCCCTGCAGACCAGTGATGGTGTCGTCACCGCTGCTGCTGGCGGAGGTGCGTGTGTCGACGAGGGGCATGGTGTCGGTGAGTGCGGGTGCATCCATTGCAGACACACCGCCGGACACGTGGAGGGCGTGGTGGTCGCGGATGTAGGCTGAGGCCATCTCCTTGAGGGACAGCATCGGCCCCACATCCACCACCACCCTATGAATGTACACAGCACACAGAGGGAGGGGCAATGCCGACATGCACTCGAACATTTGTGGTGTGTGTTTCGATTTACCGGCCGAAGTCTTCTGTGAGGACGTTGGCGGCTTTCAGGGTCCTTGCCAGGGTCTCGCCGAGCTGATAATCACACACATCAATGCACATACATCGGCTCCCCTCTACTCTGTGTGTGCAGCATAGCTGCCTACCTTGCTCTCCCCCAGGAACTCTCCCAGGAAGCTGGCGTCCTCCACAATGCGATCGTAGGCAATCGTCACAGGCACCTGCACCACACAGGGGACACACCCCGCCCTTGGTGTGGCGGTATGACGACTGGCTGACTGGCTGACTGACTAACCACTTTGATGTCGGGCACCCGGGCCTGGAAGAGCAGCTCCATGGCTATCGACAACAAACCCTTCTTGGGCTCCAGCATGAGCCGTGACCTGGACCGGCCGCCCTCAACGAAGAACTCTACCACCCCGTAGTGCCTGTACGAACAAATGAATGAACCAAGGAAACACAGACAGTGCACTCAGTTCCGCGCCCCTCCCTCCGCCCCTCCATCCGTCCACTCGTCCACTCGTCCACCGTCCGTCCGTCCTTACGTGAGTACGTTCTGCATGTAGGTCTTGAAGCACGTAGTGTAGAGCGGCCCCGCACCCCTGAACCGACGCTTCATGAAGAACGCACCTAGCACAACACACATAGCGCATTGCATTCACCACAGACAGACAGACAGGTATGTATGGCCTGACTGACACACCACCCGTGGCTGCCTCTCTACCTACCTGATCCCCTGAGTATGTAGCTGACGAGTGGTATTTTGCCGAGGTCCTCTCCGGCCGCGATGAAGGGGATCTTCACGTCCATCACATAACACGCAAACGACACCTGTATGACCGCATACACCAACACAGCAACGACAGACACCGGAGTGCATGCGCACGTGTGCGGCTGCTCAGTGTGTGTGTTTGCATACGATGAGGAAGTCGACGTAGGATCTGTGTGTCGGCAGCAGCAGCAAAGGCCCATCCCGATCCAATCGCCAATGTCTTGGGAATGAACGACACACACAAAGACACTGGTGCCTGCCTTTCGTCGATCGTGTGGCTCCCCTCCCTCCCTGCCCACCTGATGGCCTCCCACTGCAACGGGTCCACCTCAATCGACTCGAAGATCTGTGAAAACACCTGATCAGATCATGGACACACACACGGGCGCATGGACAAGTAGCACCCACCAGCACAGCTATGTTTTGTGCTGTGCTGCACGTACTGGTTTGAGCATGGCGCCGAAGAAGCGGATCATGCTGAGGGAGAACGAGGCCGAGATGCGGTGGTTCATGCGGACCACCTCCATTTCAACCGACAAGACGGCCTGCTCAAACTCACTACCCCCCTCCTTCCCCGACCTCCTGGCCGCCTCGCGAAGGATCTCATCACGAACCTGCATCCAATCGATTGCAGACAGACACCAACCAGCCCGCACACAACACAAAAAGCTTTCATTGCAAGCAGCTGTAGTCGCTGCGCCGTTGCGATGATTGATGCATCTGCATGCGTTTTGTGTGCACCGACCGACCTGCTCTGCCGACATGGTTGCCTCGTGCAGATCTTGGTCCGAGGGCGCCTCTGCCAGATGTGCAGGTTTGGCTGCCAGCGCCCATGTGAGTGTGCTGGCGACGGGCACATAGCCATTGGCGGCTCGGCGACCTGACACACACATCAGATCAGAAGCACACAGAAATGTGAGAATCTGATGCAGCAGCAGACAGTATGCTGGGGGCATTGATCTTCGCATCTGACTGACCGGCAACGACAATTGTGGTGTCCTGCTTCTCCATAGCGTCATGGTTCATCCATTCCTCACCCTTCCCTTCTTCATGTTTGAGCTCGCACCGTTTCGTCGTTCTTTTCTCCAGAAGAAGAAGCTGCCGACGAGCATCGGCGTGAAGATCAGTTTCCTTTGTTTCCATCGCGATTACCGCGTCCGAAGCCTCATCTCCCTCCCGCAGCATCAGCTCGGACGTGTGATCCTGTAGCTGTGTCAGTGGCTGCGTCATGTCTGGTGAGGTGCTGACGAGCCATGACAGCATCCACGTGCGCATCAAGCGGCGTCGGCAGACGGTCTTCCTCCTCTGCTACCCCACACAGCCGGTCGGCGTGCTGTACCAAAAGGTCGCCACCGTCATGAACAAGGACAGATCCGACATACGGCTGCTCAAGGCCAACCTGGTAGGGAGCGAAAAACCCACGAAATGCGACGAAATGAATGCATGCTTTGGTTTGCGCGCGCATGTGTGCATGCGGGTGGAACAGATACTGCAGGAGGAGGCATCTCTTCGGGCCCAGAACATCGGCAATGGCGAGATCATCGGACTGGTCTTCAAAGTGGAAGGTACGGAGCGCAGACCCTGAGAGCAGAGCCGCATATCTCCCACCTCTGATGGCTGCCTGTGTTGTGCTGTGTGCTTTTTGTCAGGCAAGGAGGAGTTCGAGACGCCCGAGTACGAGAGCCTTCCCGGCGACGCCGCCCCGACCAACACAGGCGCAGCGGGAACCGACGGTGCCACCGGTGCAGCTCCCCCGGTGGAGCCCGAGGGCGCTTCTTCCACCGCAGCGTCGTGATCCCATCCCTGCCGAGAAGATGGAATGGAATATGCCCAGCGAGATGTTTTACGTTCCATTGTACAGACCGATCGGATGCTGCGAGCAGCTGAGCGCTTTTGAGAGATCGACTGACTTACTGACTGACTTACTGACTGACTGTCGGGAGGGTGAGCTTTGTGTCACCTCCCTCTGCTGCCGTTTCTGGGTTGTGCATACATACATTCATAGCAGACAGACAGACTGACAGGGATGCTTGAGTGGCGCGTGTCTATTTGATCGTGCTATCTATTTAGAGCAACGCCTGCGCGGCGGGGGGTGCGATGAGGCGCGCTGATGGCTGCGAGTTGCTTCTCCGCAGGGGGAAGTTTCTCGCCTGCATCGTCGAGTCTTGCAGTACTTACCGCTGTCGCACGGCGGACGCCATGAGTGGCACAGACAGCACAGATTGAGATGTATCTATCGGCTCAACATCCTTCTTGTATTCACTCATTCGCCCGTGGCATGCATGTGCATCCATTTCTCCACGACGTTCACTCCCCCGCGTTTCCCTCAGGCTGCGAGCTCGGCACGCAGATCTCCCCCTTTTTTGTCCAGCAGAGGCTGTCCGAATCGAAGCAGCTGGCTCACTTCACTCCATCTTTGGCAGCTCACAGCGAAGTCTTCCATCCGTCCGCCCGCCCGCGTGAGGCTGCAGGCTGGATCTCTGAGTGGCGGTTTGCAACCATGGCGGGCAGTGCTTCATCGGCATCTGCTCGCTTTCGCTTTGCAATTGACCGAGGCGGCACCTTCACCGACGTCTACGCCGAGATCCCCACTGCCGACGGGCAGACACACTTCGTCAAGACCATGAAGCTGCTGTCCGTCGACCCATCATATGTAAGCATTAAAGCACGAAAGCAACAGCAGGAAGCCAGACACACACTCACTCTCTACCGATTGCATGAGTCAGTCAGTGTGATCGGTCATACTGTCCCTTGATTCATTGCCTCAGGATGACGCACCACTGGAGGCGATTCGGCGCGTTCTGAGGGAGTACGAGCCGCGCAGTGTGTCTGACTCGGGCGAGGTGGACCCGTTGGCCATCGAGTGGATTCGCATGGGCACGACCGTCGCCACGAATGCACTGCTGGAGAGGAACGGGGAGCGGGTGGCATTCATCACCACAAAGTGAGTGAGCCAAATGTCCCAGGAGGAACATGGTCACCCACTTGCAATGTGTGAGCGCACCTCTCCTGTCCGTCTGTCTGTCTGTCTGTTTGTTTGTATGTCAGGGGATTTCGTGACTTGCTGCACATCGGCAACCAGAGTCGGCCGGCCATCTTCGACCTGAAGAGCCGCAAGCCGGAGAATCTGTACGAGTGTGTGGTGGAGGTGGACGAGCGGGTGCAGCTCATGACCAGGGAGGACGCCGGACAAGCTATCGAGGTACGGACGGGCCGACACACTCAGAGAGAGAGAGAGAGAGCGAGAGAGAGCTGGAGTCGCACAGCCGATTGTGTATGTGTGGGCGTGGGTGTGTATGTGTCTGTCGGTTCAGCAGGGCAATGATGACGAGTTGGTCCAGGGCATCACGGGCGAGTACGTCAAAGTCATCAAGGTGCGGGAAGGCTGCAAGCCAAGCGAGCCGATTGATCCATGACATGAACCCTTGCACTGCACGGATGTGCTGTGCTGTGCTGTGCTGTCAGGATTTGGATTTGGACGAGGTGAAGACCAAGCTGACGGAGGTCTACAGCAGAGGCATTCGGTCGCTTGCCGTGGCTTTCCTGCACTCGTACACATACCGAAACCACGAACAACAAGCCGCCACCATCGCTAAGTGCGTCGTCAGTCAACACACAACACAACACAAGGACGGCGCACACACCGATCAGCTACCAATCAGCCGACACCAGCTCTGTGCGTGTCTGCCGCTTCCTCCAGGCAGCTAGGCTTCACCCACGTGACATTGTCCCACGAGCAGTCGTCGGCCAACAAGATTCTGCCCCGCGCCTACACGGCATGTGCGGACGCATACCTCACACCCACCGTCAAGCAGTACATCGCATCCTTCTCTCAAGGCTTTAGCGTGAGCCGAGCCACCGAGCCAACGAGCGATGATGTGCACGTGTGGATGAAAGCGATTGTGTGGGCCGATGGATCCATCAGAGTGCCCCCCCGCTGAATTTCATGAAGTCTGATGGCGGCCTGGCACCCACAGGGGAGTTCTCAGGCGTACGGGCGGTGCTGTCGGGGCCTGCAGGTCAGCCCAGCAAGGCCTTGGCCACGTGCCGCCACTCTGTGAGTGATAGGTGTGTGTTGGATTTGGTGCCAGGTGGTGTGGTCGGTTACAGCCGCACGGCGTATCAGCAGAGTGGTGGCACGGCGGTCATCGGCTTTGACATGGGCGGCACGTCCACCGACGTGTCGAGGTACAACGGGGATCTGGAACTCATATACGACGGAGAAGCTGCCGGCATCACTCTGCAGGCAACACAAGACAACACAGCACCACACATGGCTTGACACAGCACATGACACGTCGATTCGCATCATAGACAGACAGGTGCCGTGCATTGTGGTTGTGTGTGCAGGTGCCCCAGCTGGACATCAACACAGTGGCTGCAGGTGGTGGGAGCCGGCTGTTCTTCCGAGGTGGCATGTTCCACGTGGGCCCCGAGTCGGCCAGGGCCTACCCCGGGCCGGTGTGCTACCGCAACGGCGGGCCACTCGCCATCACCGACGCACAGGCCGTGTTGGGACGACTTCCACCACACCGATTCCCTCGGTGAGATAGACAGACACCCACACAGTGCTGGAGGGATGGATGGATGTGTGTGCGTCTTGTGCGTGCAGGATATTTGGTCCGAGCAAGACGGAGGGTCTGGACGTGTCGTTGGCGGCCAAGCAGCTGTCTGAGCTGACGGAGCAGATCAATGAGTTCAACCAAAGGGAGGGACGAGCCGCCATGACCATGCAGGAGGTAAGCAAGTGACGGAGGCTGCAGATGTGTTTCATGTCGCATGTGAGGGAGAATGTCGGTTTGTGTGACCTTCTCCCACCATGCAGGTGGCTCTGGGCTTCCTGAAAGTCGCCAACGAAGGTGAAAAGCCAAGAAGGCGGTGTCCCGGCGTCCGTGTTCTTGTTTGTTTTCCACATCTTGGTTTGTCTGTCGCTTGCTTCTGTCTGTCTGTGTGTCAGCGATGACGCGGCCCATCCTGTCACTCACGAGGGTATGCATTACACACACGTGGCGATGGCCCAAACACGTCAATAATGCCATTACACACAACCGTGATGTCTCTATCGTGTGTGTGTGCTGACAGGGCCGCGGCTACAACCCCAGTGAGCATGCGCTGTCGTGTTTTGGCGGGGCGGGGGGGAACCACGCCTGCTCGATGGCCAGGTGGGGGCCGGGGGAGGCAGATGGGTCCGCCTCTCGTGTTTGGATGGCATCCATCCATCCATCCATCCATCATATATATCGGTGTGTGTGTTGGGTGTCATGTGTGTCAGGTCGTTGGGTATGCGTCGTGTGTACGTCCACCGCCTCGCTGGTATCCTATCGGCCTACGGGCTGGCACTCGCAGACGTCAAAATCGGTAGGTACACACACACATACACATACACATACACGCAGACGCGCACATGCAGTCAGTCCATCACTCTCGTGTAATTCGATTCGTGTGTGTAGACGAGGCCCAGCCCGTGTTGGAGCACTTGCCGCCAGTCGTCATGACCGCTGCAGAGGTAGGTGGGTGGGGCCTGCCGCACAGGCAAACACAAACACAGCTTCCTTGTGTGTCTCACTTGTCAGGCTCACACCGCTGAAGACTCAGCAGCCGCACAGGCGCTCGACAGTGAGTGAATCAAAAACGGAACAGTCCTGGCAAAGACACTGGCCTGTGTTGTGTTTCTGTGTGTAGATTTGCGTGTGCAGCTGGCCGAGTTGGAGAAGAGGGCGAAGGAGCGGCTGCAGGCGCAGGGCTTCGCACTCAACGACATACACACCAAACGATCACTCACTATACGGTAGGCTCCACATGCACACACACGCGCATCGTCCACCCACCCGGACCTGCCATGGTTGTGTTGCAGCTATGACGGGACGGACACCTACGTCAAGGTGTCCGAGGCGGCCGGCAAGACTTACAAGGACATCAGTGACGACTTCAGAAAGGTGCGGCAAATGGCCGTGCAAGCATAGATACACACAGATGTATCTCTCTATGTGTCTGTCTGTGTGCACTTAGTTGTACATCCGTGAATATGGGTTCGAGCTCTCCACTCGGCTGGTGGTGGAGGAGGTGAGAGTCGATGCCGTCGGCAAGTCGTCAGCAGGCAGGGCACAACTCAAGTGCCAGGGGACTGAGGAAGCGGTCAGTCAGTCACAACACTCACCCACGATGCCTGCCAGACATTTTGCACAGGCAGGCAAGGAGAATGTGTGGCCTCTCACTCCTCCACTCACTCAGATGTCGAGTCCGGTCGAGAGCTATCCCATATGGTTCGATGCCAGTGTGGTGCCGACCAGGGATGGCCTCAAGGTGGAGGAGGAGCAGAAAGGCGCCCTTCTCCTCAGGACACCCATCTACCTTACAGAAAGGTAAGGTACTCACACACAGACACCGGCGACGGACAGCGTAAACCCATACATCACTCACATCTATCTGATCTGCATCCATTCATTCATCCGTCAATAATCAATCGATCAGGTGCATGGCCGGCCAGTCGATCAACGGCCCCGCGCTGCTGTGCGATGCCAACACGACCGTCCTGGTGGAGCCCAACTGCACGGCGACGTTCCTCGAGGACGGCTCCGTCGAGATCCTCCTGCACGACGGCGACCAGCCCACACAGACAGATGACGCAGCAACCAACGGGGTGGGCGGAAGCGATGAGGAGGTCATCGGGCCTGCGGACCCCATCACACTCAGTGTATTCGGACACAGGTACGCCATGGGCAGAGAGGGAGACCAGCCACACCTCACTGCTCTCTGATCGCGTTTGTTTGTCAGGTTCATGGGCATCGCGGAGCAGATGGGTCACATCCTCTCCCGCACGGCCATATCGGTCAACATCAAGGAGCGCCTCGACTTCTCATGCGCCATCTTCGGACCAGACGGCTCCCTCGTGGCCAACGCCCCCCACCTCCCTGTGCACCTAGGGGCCATGCAGGAGGCCGTGCGCTATCAGATAGAGCTGCTCGGCAACAGCTGGCGGGAGGGCGAGGTCATCCTTTGCAACCACCCGGCGTATGGCGGGTCACACCTGCCCGACCTGACCGTCATCACGCCCGTGTTCCATGAGGGGACGAGGGCGGTGTTCTATGTGGCATCGAGGGGCCACCATGCGGACGTGGGCGGCATCACACCCGGCTCCATGCCGCCATTCTCGAAAAGTGAACGAGGGGAGGGAGGGAGGGAGGGAGGGAGGGAGGACACACAGAGAAATGCTCACCTTGCAGGTGAGAGTCTGTGTGTTGTGGTGTGTTAAGGTATCGGTGAGGAGGGGGCGGCCATCCGGTCGTTCAAGCTGACGGAGGGGGGAATCTTCCAGCACGATGCTACCGTGGCCCTCTTCGGACACACCATCGACGCCTGGACGGATGAGCAGAGGAAGGCCTCCACCGCGCAGGCGTGTCAGCACGGTAACATCCCCGCCCAGCCCCCCACCCGTCGGCTGCAGGACAACCTGAGCGACCTGCACGCCCAGGTAGCGGCCAACCACCGGGGTGTGACCCTAATGGAGGAGCTCATCAAGGAGCACGGCCTGCGGAAGGTCCAGTGCTACATGAAGTACATCCAGGACGCCAGTGAGGAATCGGTCAAGGAGATGCTCGTGGCCATGTCTCACAAGAACGGCCTGCAGCTCATCGACACCCTCCGGGGCGTCGACTACATGGACGACGGCTCCGCCATACAGCTAGCCATCACCATCGACCGCACCAAACGCACCGCAACTTTCGACTTTACCGTAAGCGGCAGACAGACACCTCTTCCAAACGAAACCAGCAAAGAGTCTGTCTGTCTGTCTGTGTGTGTGTGTTCAGGGCACTGGTCCAGAGGTGTACGGCAACCTCAACTGCCCCCGGCCCGTCACGGCGTCTGCCATCATCTACTGCCTGCGGTCGATGCTGGACTCAGACATCCCTTTGAACCAAGGCTGCCTCAAACCGGTGCAGATCATCCTGCCGCCCCACTCCCTCGTCAACCCTTCTCATGACGCGGCCGTGGTGGCCGGCAATGTGCTGACGTCGCAGCGGATCACCGACATTGTTTTGAGGACTTTCCGGGTGGTGGCCAACTCGTATGGGTGCATGAACAACTTCACCTTTGGCAACAAGCTGCTGGCATTCTACGAGACCATCGGTGCGGTGCGCGTCTGTGTCTCTGCGAACAAACACAAACCATGCATGAGAAGGATGTCTGTGGCTGGGTGTGTGTGGATTAGGTGGTGGCAGTGGAGCGGGCCCGGCATGGCACGGCCGCAGCGGCGTCCAGTGCCACATGACCAACACACGAATCACTGACGTGGAGGTCGTCGAAAGAAGGTGCCTCTCACCACACCCACATGTGATTGATGTGATGTCATTTCCCTCCTCTCTCTCTGTCTGTATGCTGTATGCTGTATGCAGGTACCCGGTGCTGCTGCGTCAGTTCAGGCTGCGTGAGGGATCCCAGGGCGTTGGCAAGTATTGCGGCGGTCAGGGCATCATCCGGGAGTTCCAGTTCCTCCTCGACGGCATGGAGGTCAACTGCCTCATGGAAAGGAGAGCACGGCCGCCCCAGGGGCTAGACGGCGGCGGCGATGCGCTCCCCGGTCTGAATCTGTGGGTGCAGCGGTCCAAGCACGACCGCACCCTGAACCTGGGCGGCAAGAACTCCATCGTTGTGCAGGCGGGCGACCGCGTCATCATCGCCACACCAGGCGGGGGCGGGTACGGCGCCCCAGATGACACTCGTGACGTCTCTGGCAAGAAGGATGGGTCACCGGTGGCTGCCCACCCACCCACGCTTGGGACGGGGTCGGTCAATGCGTTCTGGAGGGCAGCTCATGAGAGCTAGACCAGGGATGGATGGGGAGTGGATGTGTGATGCTCGTGGTTGTGCTGAGCATGCAACTTTCTCCTGCGGAGAGGGTTTGTTTGTTTGTTTGTTTGTGCACAGGAGGGAAGCCGATAAGGCTTGTCCGTCTTGCCGTACGTGTCGTGTCGTGTCGTGTCGATCTAAGTCTGTGAACGTGTCTGTAGCCATAAGCCCAAGATTGATTGACGTGGATTCATGTGATGTATACGAGGGAGGACCCTTTTTCCTCATTGATTCATGTGGTCACCGATTCAGTGCATGTCGACAAACAAATGCAGTCCACTCTCCATCTGGCCACACACGCACACACGCACACATGCGTACAGGCGCAAATAGCATAAAGCATGCAACACACATACAGATATAAAGCTGTCTCTCTCCGAAGCCATCAATCAAAACTGGTCGGTCCGAAAATTGCTGTGACCGCGTAAACGCATGCAGCGTCACACACACGTGGAGGGAGAACGAGACAAAGCCTTCTGCATCACTTAGCCGACAGCTTCTGCTGTATGGCCAGTAGGCTCTTCTGTCGGTTGTCCTTCTCTCGCTGGAGAGCCTTCTCTTTGGCCTCCTTGAGATTGGCACCGAACGGGGGCTTCAGGGTGCCCTCCTGCACACACACAGGCAGAGGCACACACGAAGGGACATACATGCGTAGTCGAAGCGGACTCTCTCTGTTGCTGTTGACCTCAGTGATGATGCCCGTGAGGAAACGGGCGGGCGTGACATCTGAACAGCATGCAACGTGGGATCATTGTGTGTGTCCTTCCCTGTCTTGCATCCCCGCCTGAGAGCCTCACCGAAAGCAGGGTTGAACACCTGTGTCCCATCAGGGGCGATCGACGCACCGCCACTCACCTGCACGAAGCAACAACCCGACAGAAGCGGCCAAGGCCATGCATGTCACCGGTGTACCATGTTGTTCTGTCTGTCTATCAGGTTGGGACACATACACGGAGTCACATACACGGAGTATTTCGTCGGAGCTCCTCTCCTCGATGACGATGTCTTGGCCTGTCGGTATGGTGAGGTCGATGGTGGAGGTCGGCACACACGCGTACACCGGGATGCCGTGTGCATGCGCCGCCATCGCCAGATTGAACGTCCCTGCGTACAGTACACCCACACGTCCACACACACCACCCCCATGTTCTTGCTTTGCTCCCTCAATGTAATGTGCTGCCAGGCTGCCATATATGTGTAGGTAGTTACCGATTTTGTTAGCGACGTCTCCATTGGCGGCCACCCTGTCGGCACCGAAGACGACGGCATCGACCTTGCCCTGGTACATGAGGAGGCCGCTCGCACCATCCACGATCAGGTGGTGGGGGATCCTGCTCTCACGCAACTCCCAGCATGTCAACTTGGCCCCCTGCACACATTTACAAATAAGAGAGATATATATGCACTCCCTCAAAAGAGGCAGGCGTGTGATGTGACTGATGCGAGTGGAGTCCACCTGCAGCCGCGGCCTGGTCTCGTCCACATACACATGGAGGTTCTTGCCGGCCTGGCTGAGGCTGAAGATCACACCGAGGGCGGTGCCGTGGCCTGCCGTCGCCAGAGCGCCCGTGTTGCAGTGGTGGATCAGATTCAGCCGCTCAGCAGGCCCGTTGGTGGCGGTCGCGCCCTCTGTCTTGGCCGCCTTGGACGCCCGCATGGGTGCGACATCCTGGTCGATGGTGGCGACGCCGTGAGAGCCGAGCCTCTTGTTGTTCTCGACGTCCTCGTTGAAGATGCGCTGCGCCTCATCCACAATGCACTCGCTGATCAGTGCCGCACTTGCATCCTCACGACTGAGCAGCGGAAGGGCATACACACATATACTAGGTGGCATGCGTCGGCGTGCCTGTCTGTCTGTATCCTTACATGTTGAGGATGGTGTCGACGACCTCGACGATACGGGCGGTGGCGTACATCAGATTGACCGCCGTGGGGCGAGCCTCGTCCATCGCTGACACATACACACACACCAAGCGAAGCCATCCGTCCCTTGCCGTGCCGTGTCTGCATGCTACCTCTCACCCTTCTTGGTGTCTTGCAGTTTGTCTTTGAGTGTACTGCCGCTGACTGATGGCTCCTCCTTGGCAATCAAAAGACACTCGAGAGCCATTCCTGACGGCAACAGCCACGGCAGGTCGGTGACAATGCACTGCCATCAGTGTCTGTGTGCCTACCGTATGCGGCAGCGCAACCGATGGCAGGCGCGCCGCGGACCTTCATCGAACGAATCGACTCGGCCACCTGCAGCACACCACGCAGAGGTGGATGCACACACATGGATGAACAATCAATCTCACCTCCTTTGCATTGTGGAGATCCACGTAGGAGACCGATGCCGGCAGATCACTCTGGTCCAGCAGCTGCAGACGCGCACTGTCGCCCTGCCCCACACACGCAACACACGGTGTGAGATCTGCGTCAGTTGATCTGCCATCGTCTATGACTCACCTTTTGGATCCATTTCATCGTGAACACCTCATCCTCTCCTTTGCCGTTCATCGTTGGGGATGGAGAAGGGAGGATGCCGCGGGTTTGCTTGAGCTCGCAGCTAAGCTTGCAGATCTCCTGACGGATGCATTGAACAATGAATGAGCCTGATCTACTCGGATCATCAGATCCATCCACACCGGAAGAATGTGGCGATCTGGCCCATGCGCAGCTTCGGTATTGTCGATTGTGCGTGACGGCCACCTTTCTCCTCACCGTCTGCTGCATTCCGCACCGCCTGGAGGCCTTTCGAGCAGCGCCCCACCCCAATGATCCTTCTTCCTCTCTGCAGCCCTTCAGAAGACACGCTGCTCCATTTCAAAGGCATCGCCATCATTGTGACCTGTCAGCGGCGCCTGTCGACGTCGATGTGGTTGAGGAGAAAGCACCACCACCTGGGGAGGTGCCGTCTTACTACTATGTGTCTACTGATGCGGCTGATCTGACTGATGTGGAGTGGTGCGAGAGGCGGCGGCGGTCTGCAATGGACGAGGGGCGGGTGGAGTTCAGCTCGCCGGCCGAGCACATTGCCTTCGGCCGGATGGTGGGGTACCTGGTGTGGGTGACCTATGACGGCCGGCAGTTTGAGAGCTTCGACGACTCGCCGACCGACAGCGCCATCAAGGCCTACCTCGTCAACATACTTGACGATGAACTGAGGCTCAGACCGAAATCCGGTGGGCGGCCGATCATAAGCAGCACACACACACACATACACACACACACACACACACACACACACACATACGCCATCATTCTTCTCTTGTTGTCTGTGACAACTCATTGATTTGCAGCTTTGCAGCACTGTGTGCGGACAGATGCCGGCATGAGCGCGTTGGAGAACGTCTTTCTGTTTGACTCCAACTGCCGGCCGGATATCGAGTCGATCGTCAGGCGGTTCAACCTCAAGGGCTCAGGCGTCAAAATCACCAAAATGATCAAGGTGGGCGGGGAGGGAGGACACACTCGTGAGGACCATTGCGATGCCTTGGTGTGTATGGGTGTGCGTCTGACCTGCAGGTGTTGGATCATTTGTATTTGCATGAGCTGCTGGACTCATGTGAGTTCTTCGTCCGCATTCCTTTCGAGGACCCGCAGCTCGTCACCAAGAACAAGTACATACACAATACACGCACACGCGTCCACACGGCCGACTCCACCTCTTTCCTCTCTCACTTTTCTGGCCAGAAACGAGATCAGCAACGCCTGCGCTAAGTTCACAGGCACCATTGATTTCGCCGACTACACGAGCGCCAAGGCCAGCAGCACCACACGCACGGTGGCAGTGCAGTACGACGAGGCGACGGGCGGCCTGCGGTTCATCTGTGAGGGTCAGGACTTCCTGCCCGACCAGGTGGCCATGATGGCTGCCGAGATCCTCAGCGGCAGCAAGGACACGCCATTGCCCCCACAACTCATCACACTGAGGTGAGGCCGGCTGCCTGGCTGGGGCAGGGACGGCACATGGATGCAGTGTGTGATCTATGGTGTGTCTGTGGTTGGTTCAGGTCAGTGTCGTTGAATTCCAATCGTCTGCAGAATGTGGCCTATCGGGACGTCAAGGAACCGTTGCCAGGTGAGGGAGGCAAAAGGAGCCCTCACCGAAGGACACAGAAGACGCCACGCCTCCCTTGTATGTTCGTGATTGCAGCTGAACTGTCTGAGGCCAAGCAGGAGAGGTGCGGCGATGTCCTGGTCCTCTCACTCAACGACGCCCAGTACGACAGAATGAAAGGTATACACACAAACGACACCTGCCTGCCCCCAACACACACGCAGATGTGTGCCTCTACGTCTTCGCAAACAGAGAACGAGGGAGCCCTTGAGGTGCAGGTGCGCACCAGCATCGGCAAGGTGGCCTACCTGAGGGGGTGGAAGGAGACACGGCCCGACGGCAAGGCGCTGGCCAAGGTGTTGAGGCGAGAGGACCGCAAGCGGAAGGGTCTGCCTGACGAGGAGGCCGAGGCCGCCATGGAGGACCCCCAGTACAAGAGCAGTGCAGAAAAGAGGAAGGAAGCTGAGGCACTGCTCGACAGACTCAGGCAGATCAGGGGCAGCTCGTGACTGACATACAGAAATGTATGTACCATGGTGTGTGGTTGCCGCTGCGACTGCTTGAATGGTGTTGACGCAGCGGCTATTAAGCGTCATGTTGAATGGCGACGGAAAACACGCAGGTGTTCGTTGGAAGCATATGACGTGTTACTGCCCGCCACAACCGTCAGTCGACGCCTGTGGACGATTGGCAGCTCAAGATCCATTCAGGCAGCAGCTTGGGGGAAGCGGCCCTGTACACGTGAGTAAATTTGGGAGGCGACGAACACTAGAGAGGCGTTTCCCGCAGCATGCACGCGACGATGAGTTCATCCCACACCAGAGTCAGTACGCGGTCGGCAAAAATACAGACAGACAGACAGACAGCCACGTTAAGGTGTTCTCAGTTGTCGTGTCTAAGTGCACCTGGAGATCTTTGCAGGTCAAGCAATCAAGGCAGGCAGGCAGGCCAACGACAGCAACCAGACTAGGAAGGGCCTATGGCTGCAAGAACGCATGCACCACGTCTGCGGGCACTGGCTGATCTCTGGCTATGCTATGCAGACGCGAGCGTGTCCATGGGTGTTCGTGGGTGCGAGCAGATGTCGGTCGCTCGGTCAAAACCCGACTGGCTGCTCACACGTTCAGTCAGTCACTTGCATGCAGGATCGGCCTATGCGGATGCACTCGGCCTACCACCAGCATATCCATCGACTATCACACATCACCCTCCAACTCCCACCCTCTCTCTGTTCTGTGTCTCTCTTTCTCTCTTTGACACGCGTGCACGTGTATATAAACAAAAACGGACAGATAGGTACGTACGGACATACATGCAAGCAAACATGTATGCACCCACCCACCCACCCGGTACCAACTCACGCACACAGATACGCACCAAGACATACATCCCGACGCGACACGACCGACACGACAGACAGTTCCGCGCACACGAGCGAACGAGCAGCGCCTTCATTCACACACGCGGTATACGTTGGCACGCATCAAGAAGAAAAAAGGAATTGGTGCGTGCGTCATCAGCTGTGTGTGAAAGATACGGCATCACTCGATCGTCGGAAAAGGCATGGCACACCACAAGCAGGCACGCAGGCAGGCAGGGAGACAGACAGACAGATAGGGAGCCAGCCAGCCATGCCGGGCGCAAAACTCCTTTCCTTCAATTATACGATTGTGTGCATAGTTACGGTGGGCTGGCTGGCACGCTACCAGCGACAAATACCCTTCCCCTCGCTCATTCATTCAGACAGACAGCCGACCGAGCAAGCAGAAGGGCGAATTGCGATCGGTCGTTGTGCACGTATGTACGTAAGCATCTGTGAATGTGTTGTCAAGATATACATCCGTACGCATTGGTGGGCAAAGACACTGACGGACATAAGATGGGATGTTGCGTTTGTACGTCGTGTGCGTATGTACGGCACATAAACAAGCCCTGGCCATGCATATGCATGCCTGTATGCATATTCACGCAGATGGATAGATATACAGAGGGGAACTAGGTGCGGGTGCGACTGGACTCCCTCTCCCCTCCATCCCTCGCCCCTACCTGAAAAAGAGAGGCGTGAATGAGTGGTGGGTAGCTGGTGCGATCGACAGTCCCTACCTGATTGATGTATGACACGAATGCACCTTCATGCACTTACATCGACTCACTCACTCAGTCACTGGCACTCACTCCTGCCTACATACGCGTGTACGTATGTACGTATGTTTGTACGTATGTACGCATGTATCTGTACAAACACATATATATATATATAGCATAGCGTATACATAGCCAGTAGGACCAATTGGGGGCACGGGAGTTGTGAGAAGTGAGAGGTGTGTGTGTGGAGGGGGGACGGGACGGGACGACGAGCGAAAGTGAGACAAAAATGATTGAGCGGCTTGGACGGGGGAGCCAGGCTCGCCCGTAATTGGCATCCATCCATCCACACGCACATCATCCATCGACTAAAATCACAGCACACCACACGTCACATCATATGATGGCACCAACTACGGACACGGCACGACACGACAGGGACACGCAGGTAGGCATGCAAAGAAAGAAAGAAATAGTAGGCATCTTCGTTGGTTCGTTCGTTCGTGTTGGTGCAATCACTCAATCACGTATTTCACACATTCGCACATTCATTCACTCATTCATTCACTAGGGGCACATTTTAGGCCAGCAGAGCTGCCAGGCTTGCACTCACGCAGCCATGCAGGCAGGCAGGCATCACACACGCACACAGAAGAATGAACACATTCACTACAGCCACACATACACGACACGAGACATGAATTCACACGAATCAACAACATCCATTCGTCGATGGGGAGGTTAGTGGGAGCCCCTCTCTGTGTGCTTCTGCCTTGAAAATAGGCACGATTAGAGTAGGTAGGTACCCAACCGGCCGGCCACGCACTCACTCACACCCTCACAAACACACGCACGAATGCACGCACTCTATCAAACAACAAGGAGAGGGACAAAACACTTGATACAGATAGACAGACAGGCGGCAGGCAGTCAGACGCACAGCACGGCAAAGTCAAGCCGGGCCAGCCAACACTCATCTGTCTGTCTGTCGCCTCTGTCTTTCCTTCAGTGCACGCACTACTGCATGCACCAAAAAATACCTCAATTCGTCGCACACACGTACGTGAGTACGCGTGCACGGTTTCTTCTTCGCTGTGCCCTCATCCATCCATCCATCCATCCATCATCTTCAAAAAGGAGTCACCCCTTTCTCTGTCTACGCATCTCGGCAACCGTCAGTCACCATCCATCCCATCAGGCACCACCACATCAGCCAGCGGATGCACTGACGGGAACGCATGTGTGGAACATGCATTACAAGAAGCCGTTCACATCCGTCAATCGATCTATCGATCGTATGTATTGTATGTTTCTATGTGTATTAGATAGTTGTATCATTATATATATATACGCGCCCCAACCCTTCACCCGCACTCTCCCACCCAGCCCCACCGCCCCCCCCTTTCCTCCCCAATCAATGGTACACCAACACGAATACTGATCCATCCATCGGTTGATCGAGCGGTACATACAGCCTTACACAGCTGGTGAGCACTCAATTGACATCAATATAGCGATGATGAGAGAGATACGATACACACACTACAGACACACGCCACACGCTCTCACGCACACATTGACTAGGGACACCTAAACATTTACATACGCATTCACACACTCACCCATGGTGCACACGATTACATAATACCCCACGCTACGCCACGCCCGCCACGCCCCCCTGTCCGTGTCTCTCAGTCCTTGTATCCCGCCCGTGTGCTCTCCTCCATGGCCTTCATCAGCTCTGCATCGTGCACACACAAGACACAGCCAAAGGGTTCAAAGGACAATCCATACGTGTTGATACACACATCGTGTGCATTGAGTGCTGACCTTCCACGGGCACCGTCTGCATTTGCTGGAAGGTCCCCGTGGCGGGCGAGCGCGCCCCGCTCTCAGTCGGCGACGGGCCGCTCACACCCACGGGCACCGATATCGTCCGCTGCACCGGCCGGCCCACCCTCTCCACCCTTACTCCCTCTCCCTCCTCCTGCCCCACATCGGCCTGCGTCTCCGCCTCCCGCATGAACACACGGCCAGGCGCTGCCGGACACGACACAGACGAGAAGCGGGGCGGGTAGCGCGCCACCAAGGGGAGCGAAGAAGACGACGGGAGACCCGCGAGCTCCCCCGCAATGGTGTGCGTCTGCGCGAGGGTGTGCGGCGCACCCGCCATGAGGAACGAGGGCGGCCCCTCGTCGCCCTGTGGCTGGTGGGTGAGGGGCGTAGTGGCTGCGCGTGACGCGTGTCTACCGTAGAGAGGCACCGGGCTGCTGAAGGTGGGGTGTGGCACGTCGGGTGGGAAGGGGGGTGGGGGTGCGGGGGGCAGATGCCGCCTCCTCACATGGCGCTCGCTGAGGCTGCTGGCGCTGTTGGATGGCGACGACATCGACACAGACGCCTCGCCCCCCATGGCAGTGACGGTCGTTGACCAGGCCGCGTTACTCGGATGAGCAATCGAGAGGAAAGATGCAGACGGCACCGAGCTCGCAGACGAGAGGGGGGGCGGGGAGGGAGGAAAACCGCCGTAGGCAGCTTCTCCATAGCCGCCGGGTGACTTGGGCGGCAGGATGGAGATGGGAGGGATGGGCGACAAAACCTCCCCTGAGTCGGCGAATGCCCTCGGCACGGGACTCTCCTGCGGCATCGGGACGAGTGGGGCGGGGCGGGGCGCCCGCGGCATCGCTGGCTCGGCCTCTCGGATTGAAAAAGGCCGTCCTGATGGGGGACTCCTGGCCGGCGGTGGCGGCGGGAACAAGGGCGACGGAATATCGGGCTCGTATACCTCCAGGGTGTCGGCCTGCACGGCTGCATCAGTAGTGTTGCCGACGCCAATCCGCCCCCTGCCCCTCCTGTGTGGCCGCAGGATGCTGATGGCGCCGATCTCCTCGGAACTCCGTCTCACCTTGGCCACGGGGCCAGGGCCGCCCTTTGCCTTGCCCCGCCCCATCGACGACATGGGGGACGAGAAGCTCACAGAGGGCTCGCCATAGCCCCCGAGCTCTCCGTATCCCCCCACACTCATGCTCATGCTCATCCCCATTCCACCGCCAGCATACCCCTGCGGAGACGAGGGCGGCGGCGCCAATCCCACCGGCACCGATGTTGACAGGATGGGGAACGGAGGCCCCCCCATGGCACGGGGCATCGTTCGAGACCCGAGTGGCGTGTCCTGCAGCAGCATGGGAGTGCCGGTGCCTCCAGTGCCTCCGCCAGGGGTCGAGCCGAGATCGCCTTCGGGTGGCTGCAGTACGCGGCTGTGGTAAGGCCGCAGCGAGAGCATGGGTGGGGGGCGGACGACAGACGATCGGTCAGCGGGCGATGCCGACCTCGGGTATGAGGGGTAGCCGCCAGCCTCATACATGGGCTGCAAAGTCGGCATGGTCGGCGCCGGCTGCTGCGAGTAGGATGTGCTAGGCGGGTATGAGGAGGGGTAGTGTGCTGGGAAGGCTGGGTAGGAGGGGGGCGAGTCGGGTGGGGCGGGGGCGTCGCCTGGGTGGGTCTGGGGCGGCGGGGCGGCTGCACGCTCCGCCATGTGATACCTGAAGAGACGACAAAGGAGAACAGAAAGCCACACTTGAATATTCAAGGCGCTGTCATTGGCTTGGCTTGGCCCGCCTTGCCTTTCTCCCTACCCTCTCGGTCGTAGCTCTGCGACCCCATGCGCATGGCGACACGACGCGCCAGCGCGACACTCGCCACGCAACCAGTGCTGAATGACACAGAAGACGCACACAGACAGCCAAGTGTCCATATATCGGCTTACGTGTCGGTCCTGCCCTGCTCTAGCCAGCCCAGCCCTTTCCAGCCCACCTGGCAGATGGCCGTTTTGAAGTAGTCGTCTGTGGTCCTGAGTTCGGCGACGCCGTGTGCATACTTGCATGCCTTGGGGTCGTGCATGTATGGGCACTGGCCCCGCTCCCACTCCTCACACACACGCGTCTTGGTCAGGTCGGGCAGCGGACGCAACTCCTCCACCGTGTGAGCTGACAGACAGACAGACCGATGCGATTCATACACACACAGACATACACATGTGTTAAGGCGTGCGTGTGTGTGTGTGTGTGTGTGTGTGTTCGTGTGAGTCGCACCGAAGGGGCACCGCTGGCCTCGCGGACACGGCTGTCCGTCGCCAGTGAACTGACACATGCGGGTCTTCCACCCTGCAGAAACACACACGACACAGAAACGGATATGAGCACGATTCGATTACTTCCCGTCTGTCTGTCTCTGTGCGGTGTGCGTCCCTCTCCCTCCCACTGCTTTGCTTACACTGGTCGCGCATCTTCCATTTCCTGCCGCCGGGTTGTCCATTTGGCATGATCACACAGAAGCGACCTGTCGGCGTCCCCCCGTCAAGCGACGCCCCACTGACCATCACAACGTCATCCTCGCGACAACAGGCAGGCAAACCACTCCACTCGTCAGGGTCTCAAAATGCTGTCCTCGTTTGGTCCAGCGGTAAACGAGAAAGATCAAGTCAAGCAGACTGAGTCAAGTTCTCCGCCTCAGCGACTCGGTCCCGCGGGATCGCGCTCTCCATCTCTCCGGTTGATCTTTTAAGAGCGGCGAGTCACGACTGCTGCGCAAAGAGAAGCAGCAGGTACAGGGCACTGCTGTCATGGCTGGGGGAGGGGGAAGGACTCACGAAAGAAATCTGATCTCGCGTCGTCCTCGGCTAAGCTCGCAGATGGGAAAACAACCCTACCTGCGGAAAAGAAGAAGAGAGGCGGCCTGGCGCGGCGCCATGAGGCAAGCTAATCCATAAAGGGGAGTGAAAACATAGCCAGCAGAGAGCCGAGTGAGGATGGCGGCCCGCACATGGATGACGACGCGCCAGCCGTGGGAACGCAAGATCATGACGCGCACGACCCACCTGATCCTCTTCCGACCCCCCATCCCCATCTGGCGGCCCCGCAAAAACCTCCTCTCGCCCCCGCCCATCCAGGTGTCGCGACGGAAGGGCATCCCGCTCCTGGACAAGCACTACGATCCGCTCAAGAAAAAGAAGGTGGGCGGCTTCCGCAAGTACCGCCCGCCGCCCAAGCCGCGGCCGCCAATACGGCGCGACTACAACCCTGGTGACTGCCATGAGATGCTCGGCAAGTTCCGATTTGAGGCTCAGGGGACCTTCCCTGGTGAGTTGAGTGGGACTAGGCTATGGGGACTGGGCTGACGCAAACGACACACGGGATGGATGTTTTGTGTGTTGTGTTCTTCAGAGAGTGGTCAGCTGTTTATGGATGATTTCCGGCGGCGTGCGAGGGAGCTGTACCTGAGGGGATGGATCAAGGGCAGATCCGCATTCGCCATCGGATGTGTAAGTGCGTTGAAATGACGGGTGACGGCAGCACAGCATCCATGGTCTGTGTCTGATATGTTCGTGTGTCTGCAGGTCCAGGGTGACGTGTACGCGCTTTCGCACCTGTAAGTAGGCCACGCACACATGCATCGAGCCCGCCGATGGACGCTGTCTGTTGATCCATCCATCCATCCATCCATCCATCCAATCGTCCCTTCCTTGCTGCTGTGTGGTGTGTCGTGTGTCAGCCGTCGCTGGCTGGAGGATCGATACAGTCCCCACGCCAACATCGCGTCACTCAAGATACTCGACGAGAGCTTCGGCATTCCCGAACTCGAATACAAGTAGCTAACTGACACACCACACAGACACACAGAACATGACGACCGCCACTCGCCGCTTACGCGTGTGCGTGTGTGTTCAGGGTGCCGTATGTGTTTGCGGATCGCGATCTGCGAAAGCCCAAGAACGTCGAAAGACACCTCGAGGAGGTCTGTGACTCACTCGTACTCACACGAGGATGCCGAATGTGTGGATGTATGTGTGTGTGTGTGTGTATGTCAATCAGCGTCGTTCTCGCGTCCGTCTGCGCAAGATGGTGGAGGAGAGCCACGAGCGGCAGAACGAGATCGAGAAATTCGTTGAGTCACACTGCGTCAGAACCTGGTGAAGCTGCGTCGTGTGTGCCGCCTCGTCACTTCGCTTTGGCTTTCGACTTGCGCTGCGATGTCTCCCGGTGAGCACCATCAGTCCTAGTGCTTTGCTGGCGGGTGTCACGGAGCAGTGGATGAGGCGGAAGACACCTGCTACTGCCATGCAGGCGCATGTTAGAGCCGCAGTGTGTGTATGTGGAGGAGTGGTTGAGTGATGACGATGACATGGGTGTGGGTGTGCGTATGTGCACAGCTGTACAGGTAGGTAAGTGGACCGACCGTTTTGTGTGTATTGTATGCATGGACAACTGACTGCAGGGGTGCAAGGGCATGTGCTGGAAGGAATGCCAGCCAGCAGCCGGTTGTTTGGGTCTCTGACGTCTCTTCTGTTGTTTGTGACCCAAACACCAGAAGAAATGACAGAGACCCAAACAACCAGCCAGACATCCATTTCCCTCTATTGATGTTTACGTAAGCAGTCTCACGTCATCTGGTAATCCTTCCACCTTGCTCGATCACAACTCATTCATTCGTCATGGAAAATTGTCAGCTGGAACACAAAAATGCCGGAGACGTGCAGGCGCACACAGACACGAACGACACGAGTTCATCAACCACATGCACGTGACAGTTTTAGGCCGTGGTTGCTGTCGTAACCCCTCCGCAACGTGGGAGACGCCATTCGACCGACAGCCACGCCACGTGACAGCTGGTGAGCGACGGCGGAAACCACACGGACTGACCTATCGGTAGGTACACTTGCTATATATGCTATCTATCTGAAGCAAATAGCACGGCTGCGTGGCATGCCACGCAGCAGCAGCTCCTTTGAGAGCTGAGCTGCGGGGAAACAAGGTCGTGTGCATGAATGAACCGGCAGCTAAGACGCGTCATGTGTTCATGATCTTCTGCATCACGTCCACCACACACCGCGTCTCCTGCACGGCACCGCACGGCACGACACGGCACGACACGGCAAGCCAAACAAAGCCAAGCCAAGCCAAGCCAAGCCAAGCCACATATCATAGATGTATGTGTGCATGTGCGTGTCCCTCTGTCTCTCATCCCACTCACATTAATGTCGTGTGTCCGCAGCATGAACACACCCTGCTGCACACACCTGCACATACACACACAGACATCCACACGCCCATCTCATCTCGCCTGCCCGATGCTTGAAGGTCCGTGTGTCGCTCCCTCCCGCACTGACTGACCAAGCGGTGCATGCGGCCCCGCCCCACTTTCGGTCCTCCAGCTCCTGGGGGTCGCGTTTGGCCAGACTCGACGACGGGTAGCCGTTCTGGGGCGGCGGGGTCGACTGGTCCTCACTCTCCTGCACATCACATGGACAGGTAGGTACACACACATACACATACATAGTCAGGGGGCGGGGGATGGGGTGAAATGGTGTATGCTCTTGTGAGTGTTGTGTATGTAATGTATGTATGTACCCTTTTGAGCATCCGCCGTGCTTTGCCTTCGGCAGTGGTCGCGCCCAGCAACCTGTTCAAAGGAAGCCGAAAGAAACACCCAAGTGGGTGGATGGAGCCTCTTTCTGTCTCCTTGTCCGTCCGTGCACGTGTGCGTGTACCGTTTCCTGGAGAAGCCCACGAGTTGCGGGATGCCTCTCGGGAGGCCACACTGCACCTTACCAAGGTCACGCAGCAACCGGTAACTCTGCCAGCCAGGGAAAAGAAACAACCGCAGTACAGTCCACTAAGGCCCCTCCCTCCCACCGTCTCTCTGCCCTCTTCACCTGTTCGGCTGTCTTAGCGAATCCGATGCCGACATCGGCGAGAATGCGCCATCGGGGAATCCCCCGCTGCATGAGCCGCTCGCACCGGTCCTTGAGCCACATGGCCACCTCGGCACTGACGTCTTGGTAGTCAGTGAGTTTGGTCATGGTGTCGGGGTTGCCTCTCATGTGCATCAGGCAGTACGACACGCCACGGGGGTAGTCGCGCCGGCCGATGTAGTCCTCCAGCAGCGGCCACATCTGGCTGTCTGCCACACCACCAGACACATCGTTCACCTGTCGCACAGCACACAAACACACAACCAGAGTCAATCAGACGAGACGGATCGGATGTGCACTGCACAGTCTTGAATGGTTCTTGGCTTTCGTACCAGGTCAGCGCCTGCCTCGACGGCAGCCTGGGCAACAACAGCCCGGCGCGTGTCCACAGAGATAGGCACCGACGACTCCTGCACACACACAGAAGGGACAGAATGACTTAAATGGATGAAAATGCCTGCCTGCTATGGTTCCGTCCGTCCCCATCCGCCCGACCCACCTCTTTGAGTCTTCTGATGACGGGCAGCACGCGCCGCATCTCCTCCTCCTCGCTCGGCGGCACCGCACCAGGTCGAGTCGACTCACCACTGACACCACAAGCAAGGCACAGACAGACAACCCAACCAGCCCATGAGAGGTGGTTCTTTGCCCACACACCACACTCAGCCAGCCATCCATATATCCGCCCTCAGTCACCCGATGTCGATGATGTCAGCCCCCTGGTCCTCCATCTCGAGTGCCCTCTTGACACTGTCCTCCACACTCGCGTTGTGCACACTGCCATCGGAAAAACTGTCGGGCGTCACATTCAGGATACCCATGATGCGCGGGGTGCCGCCGTCGTCCATCTGCCACAGACGAGACCCAACGGCAAACACACGGCGGGGACGGGCGGTCCGGCCATCCTCCGGCCCCTTCTCGGAAGCTTGTTCGCGGTTGCTGTCCCACAGAGACTGAGAGGGCAACACAGCACAGCACAGCACAGCACAGCACACAACGCATCGATGGGATGGCAGGATGATCCACCTCCTTCCTTCCTTGGTTGAACTGACCGACCGAGATGGTTTCGCCGAGTGCGGGATGAATGAAGTGTGGGTCGATGTCCATGAGGGGCTCGAGCACGAAGTTCCTCTCGTGCAGCCGGGGGTGCGGCACCTCCACCCACAACGGGTCATCCTCCCGCAGACACACCGCGTCATCGAGGAACAGCAGGTCCATGTCGATGGTCCGAGCCACGTACTGCCGCTTCTCCCCCCGCCTCCCGTGGCTGTCCCTCCGCCTGCCAAACCTGGCCTCGATGGCCTTGAGCCGCCGCACCACCTCGGACGGGTCACCGATGGCCGTCCGCACTGCAACCGCCGCGTTGAGGAAGGGCGGCATGGACGCAGGGTCCACGTAGGCAGGGGGCGTCTCGTAGAGGCATGAAGTGCTCTCGATGCTCCCCACAGTGCCCTTGAGCTCCTTGATAGCCTCCTCTATGTAGTGCAGCCTCAGAGGACCACCGAGGTTGGAGCCCAGGGCGATGAATGCACGATGGCCGGCGCCAGATGAGTGTGCGGCGGGCGATGTGGCCATGGATCTGGCGGGGGGATGGGAGTGATAGGCGCGGCGAGAGGAGAACACGGAACTGCTGAGGCGGCAAAGTGGGAAGCGGCTGGAGAGCATGAATCAAAGACTCATGGTGGCCATCCTTGCAGATGTGAGAACTAGCCAGATCTGCGATATCTGCAGCGACTGCGGCTCAAAAATGCGAGCTCAAAGGGTGGCTACACCCACTCTACACACCAGCAGCAGGAGCAGCCCGGACAGCTGCATCATTCATCGCGAATCTGCGTGAGATCCATGGATCTGTCCGAAGATGCACCATCTGCCGAGGGTGGCGGGGCTGCTGTGGCAGTTGCCATGGCCTCGGAGGTATCCGTGTACTTCACGACCAAGTTGCCGGATGAGTTCCGCGTGGCGCCTGATCCATTCCTGGTGCCAACCAAACTGGCGAGATACGGACTATCGGAGGTGAGGGATGATGGAGGGAGGGATGCACGATGTCGTCGATGTCGTCCGTGTTTTGCTGCATGCTGTGCTTCTATCTATCTTAAGGTGATCAATCATCTGCTGGGTCTGGATCCCCCGCGGCCGTTTGACTTTCTCGTCGATGATGAGTTCCTCAGGACCTCACTCGCCAAGTGAGTCAAGTGAACACACTCTCTCGTCGCTGCTCTCCACGGCCGCCTCTTCCTTTGCCTGTCTGTGTGGGTTTGATTCAGGTATATGGTTGATCATGGTTTGACCAGTGAGAGGACGCTCACAATCGAGTACACGCATGCACTGGGGAGGCCGTCCACACGCGACATCGACAAGCAGCCCGACTGGATCGCCGACCTCACCACCACACACCTCACAGGCGACACCGCGTTGCTTATCAGCGGCTCCTATGACGGCGTGGCCCGTTTCCATGTCATGTCATCCTCTGCGGGCGACCCCTCGCCAACCCCGGCCGCCAAGGGCGCCCTCACTGTGTCATCGGAGGCGTGCATCGTGGCGGTGGACAGCTGGTCGGGCGAGGCGGCCGATGGGTCGCCCATCGAGCTGGCCGCTGCACTCAAGAACGGCGAGGTGCGGTGGCTGTGTGTCGACCCGAATGCCGTTGAGAGCGTGGAGGAGCATGTGGGCCGAGGGTGAGACCACCAAGACCATGGATATACATCACACACTTGTCTGTCTCTTTCCGACTCTGCGGTGCGATCGATGTGCATCAATCAGTATGTATGTATGTTTCGGTGTGTTAGGCACATGGAGAGCGTTGAGTGCGTGTCCATCAGCGCCGATGGAGCACACATAGCCACCGGGGGCTGGGACAACAGTGTCATCGTGTGGGACAACGTAAGTAACCCTGCAGACAGACACGAATCTATCTATCTGGGACAGAATGGGATGGGATGGAATCATGTCGTTCGTGCCATCCATCGGTCAGACATCTGCGGTGGAGTCCCTACGCGCGAATATCAAGGCCGCATTGGGCAAGAGGTGAGTGAGTGACGCCACACAGGGGGGATCCACCAAAGAGTCACGTCACGAGGCACGGTGCATGTGCATGTGCATGTGGTGTGTCAGGTCAGCGTCAGAGACGTCGCACAGCCCCAAGTTCACCCTCAAGGGCCACACACAGACAGTGCAGGACGTATGCTGGCCGCAAGCACCCGGTGCATTCCAGCTTTTCAGGTATCAATCACACGGCAGCACTACTTGTGCTTGAATCTGATGTTTCATTGTTGTGCTGATGACATCTTTTAGCGCCTCGTTCGACCAGACAGTCCGTGTGTGGGACACCGTGGCGGCAATGCCCGTCTGCACATTCCCATGCGCTAAGGTGGGCGAGTAACGTGACTTACATGCCACCCGTATGGTGTCTGTCCGTTCTGTGTGTGCGTGTGTGTTTCAGGCGGCCAACAGCTTGAGTGTGAGCCCCAGTGGTCAAGAGCTGTGCACGGCGCATGAGGACGGGTGAGCAGCCGAGACACAGACGTGCCAGTGCAGATGCGACATTGGCCGTTTGTTTTATCAGGCGTGTGAGGGTGTGGGACATCCGGGGAGGCAATAGACCAGCAGGTGAGGGCGGGGGAGGGGGCGGCGAACAGACAGGGTGCCACCAGCATGGAAGGAGGCACGCCTTTGGCTTGATCTGCAGGTTCGTCCTCATCGAGTGCTTCGTCTGCCGTGAAGGTTGATGCATCGAGTGCTCTCGCACTCACACACACTTACACCGTCCACAGAAGGTACTTACTGATGTAGTGCACACACATACACACATACACGCCATGTGTTGATCGATGCTCAAGTGAGATGGGTGTCGGCGTGTGTGTGTGTGCAGGATGGTTCCGCAGGCCCGTTGGAATCCTTATGAGCCCCACTGGATCGCCTCGGTGTCGCACGATGGATGCCTCAAAATCCTCGACACGAGAGCTACCAAACTCCCGCTGCAGACGGTAAGTAAAAAATCGCGGTACACCGTGCCATGCGTGTATTGACGTGCCCTCAATTCTTCATAGGTGTCTCTTGAGGGATGCAAGCTGCTGACGGTTGTGTGGGTGAGCCGGAGTGTGTGCGCGACGGGTGGGTCGGACGGTGTGCTGAGGCTGCATGAGCTGCAACACGCGGGGGGGGCCGTCAACCAGCAGGACGACGAGTGAGAGAGCGAGGCGTGCCGTGTGTTGCTCTTGTTCCGAGAGGGATAGAGCGATGGGTCGTGAACGTGTCGATAGCTGGCTATACATGGATCTGACCAACTGATCGAGACATTCATCACATTCATGGACGAACGAGCACAGCACGGGGGGCCAAAAATTTATGCTCTCTCCAGCCGCGTCAGTTGGTTAAAGTCCATCGACACAGTAGCTAGCTAAGGCTCTATGGGCACACACAGAGAGAAAGAGATACATTCTGTTCTATAGACACACTGCCGTCGCATCGCGAACGCAGAGAACGCTCTCAAGGACTCACATCACATACACACAGAAGGATGCAACTGCTACCCATATTGTTTAGAGACACACAGGCAGACATCACCTCTCTGTAAACCACACACAAGTCTTCTCACCGGCGCTTCATCACTCTACTCAATAAAATCCGTTCGCACCTTCATTGACTGGCTAACGCGCCCTTCCAGAGTCACGATGCAGCCGCTTCATCGAGCAGCTTGCCGAGTGCCTCTTGGCTGCCGAGTGTGCCATCTGAAGGCACCAGCTGCCGCGTGATCCGGCCCTTGTGCATCACCAAAACACGGTCACAGCCCCTGCATACGCCACAAACGCACAGAGACAACGACGAATGAGCACCTGGATACGTGGATGTGGGCAGTGGGGCAACGGGTACGAACCTGATGGAAGCCGCATGGTGTGCGACGATCAAGGCGGCGCAGTGGGGCAGCACCTTCCGCAGCGTCACGTGCAGGGGCGGCGCACCGCTGTCGTCAGCCGCACTGCCGGCGCCTTCATGTTCGGGAGGGGGCGGCTCGTCGATGACCAGTAGCTGCAGGTTGGCCCCCGGTGCCTTGGCCTGCAGCAGCAGTCTCGCCACCGCCAGCTGCTGCAGCTGACCCACCGACAGGCTGTTCGATGCGCCGTTGGTGTCACCCCCGTCGGTCCCCTCATCCCTCCTGGCTGTCATGCCGCCAGATGGAGCGACCACAAGGTCCAGCCCGGGGCGTGTCCGGGCGTCCTCCTTGGGCAGTATGGGGATGGTGACGTCATCACTGTCGTCGGGACATGCACCCGACGAGTCGCGGAGGGGGGCTGGCGAGTTGGGCAGAGGGGCTGGAGGGGAGTAGAGGGCGGTGAGCGTCGGCCCCAGGCCGCAGAGATCGAGCGCCTCCCATATCGTCGCATCGTTGAAGTAGTCCTAAGGAGGAAGGAGAGGGGAAAATTGCAGATGTTCAACGATGCGTTCCCACTCAGTGGATGACTGACCTCTGGGTCGAGAAGCTCTCGCACAGTCCAGTCCTTGAGCACCACGGGAAACTGAACAGTGAGCCAACACAAGCAGCCGCCAGGTCCGTGCATCTCGCCTACCCCAGGCATCCACCCCTCTCTCTGCTCCACCTACCTGGGGGAGGACGCCGACAACCCTCCGGAACTCGTCATCGGCCATATCCTGGGCCTCCCTCCCGGCAATCAGTAACCGCCCGTGGCTCAGCTCCACTTGCCGCAAAACAGACAAGAGCAGCGTGCTCTTGCCTGCCCCAGTTCTCCCAACCACACCGACATGCTCGCCGGGAGCCAGCGAGAGCGATATGTCACGCAACGCGGGGGGCACTCCGGCACGGTAGCGCACCTCCACTTTGTCGAGGACCAGGGCAGGTGCGCCGGGTCGGGGCGGCAGAGCTGCCCGTGCCTCCCGCTGCTGCTGCTGTCGTCTTCGTGTCCGGCGCGCTGACGGGGTGGACGATTCCTCGGGGTCGAGCTTGACGTACTCCTGATGGACGACGGACAGCGACAGCTTGTGTAAGGAATGAGAAGGTGAAGGTGAGGGAGATGTCTCGTTCCTGACCTGAATGCGTTCGACGGAAACGAAGTTGATCTCCAACATGATGATGAAGAAAAGGAAGCCGCCGATCAAGTCCCGCAGGTCCATGGCATACTGCAGCGAGAGGCCGAACAGCGTGGCGTTGCCCCGCAACTCCTCCCCTGACAGCGGTGTGGCTCTCGGACCCCTGACAGCCAGGCCCAACAGCGGACCGAGCGTCGTAATCGTGAAGAGGGCGAAGCCAAGCAGTTGCAGCCGCAGCTTCATCCACTGAAACGCCCTGAGGAATGTGAGGGGGACAGTGAGTGGCTGGACCAGACTTCTGCATGGAGTTCGCTTACGAATAAGAGACGAGCCGGCGGCGGCCGTACATGTTGATGTGACGCAAGTTCTCGCCGATAAAGGCACCCTACCAACCAAGACAGCCACATCCCTTGCTACGCTTTTCCTCCGCCCCAGCAAGTCTTCTACCCACCTGTTGCTTGAATGCTCGAATGATGGGTGCACCGGCCATGGTCTGGTTAAAGTGCGAGAAGACCTTAGAGAGGCACTGCATTTTCTTGCGCTCCATCTCCCGTTGCGCCTCCTGGTTCGGCCACGCCACGTACACGAGGAACGGCACGTAGATGACCGGCACAAATAAGAAGGCCACGGGGGCCGTATACAGCAGCATGCCGGCCGTGAACAGGAGCCTCGCGCTGGAGCCGAGAACGATCCCGAAATATGCCATGAGCTGGTCGTCCACCTTCCACATGTCGCCGGCGATGCGGGTAAGGACGCGGCCGAGCGGGTTGGCATCGAACCACCTCAGCGGCACGCGCAGCAGGAGGCTCTTGACCAGCTTGTTGTGGATGGACGACGACGCCTTCATCGATCCAATCGTCTCCCCCAGACACTCAACCAAACCCCAGCCGATCAGGGCGAGCAGGAAGATCATGTACGTGCGGAGACAGGCCACTTGCGTGAGGACGTCGGTCTCGCCCTTCTCCGTCCACCGCTTGAAGTATATCTTGCCACCCTCCCGTCCAATCTCCTTCCCCACAACCGCCAAACCGATGAGCACAGCCAGCAGCACACCGGCATGCTGCACGTACCTGAACAACAAGGCCGAAGAAGGAAATGCAAGTGAAGTGGCTGCCTTCTTCTCTTCTTTCCAATCGACTGACCATGCGTACGTCGACAGGGACACTGACCCTTGCTTGGTCTTCTCCTCTTCGAAAAGGGCTCCTGTCCTCTGGTTCTGGCCAGTCTCGCCGACGCCTCGGTACCCGCCCATATCTTGCACCGCCTCCCAGGGCTGCTCCCAGTCATTCACCGCAACGCATTGCAGCATAGAATGTCGCTCCTCTATCGAGGATGGCACCGACCGTGGCGTGAGGGGAGTCGACGGCTCACCGCGTCCTTCTGACATGGGTAACCCGCCGCCGATCCTGGTCAAAGCAGCATGTGATGCCTCCTCTGCCCTTTCCGAGTCTGCTGCTGCTGCTGCTGCTGCCTCGCTGGGAAGAGATGCGACACGTCCGCTGAATAGTGCCGTCAAAGGGTGACTCGGGTCGGCAAGTGACAGCTGCTGGGCCACCTCGTCCACTTTGCCTTCCCAGGCCACGCGACCCCGGTACATCAGCACCACTCGGACGGGCAGGGACACAGCAGCAGCAGCAGCACCAGCGTCACTGCCCTGCGGCTGCATGGACTCACTCAGGAGGGTCTGGAATGTGATGGGCTGGAGACACAGAACCGTCGCAGCACCAGACAGCAGGCCGTCGGCAGCGGTGAGTTGCTTCCATATCTGCTGCCCCACTCGCGGATCGAGAGATGCGAATGGGTCGTCGAGGAGGAAAAGGTCGGTGTCGTTAGATGGGTTGTAGAGGGCGCGGGCCAGGGTCAGGCGCTGACGCTGCCCCCCCGACAACACATGGCCGCCCTCGTTGACCTCCGTCACGTCACCTGCAGTCGAACAATGAACGATGCGACAGAAGGAGGCATGCGTGAGATGTGTGGGTCCTCACCGTGTGGCCAAGCGTCGATGTCCAGACAGAGTTGACAAGCCTCCACCACCCTGTCGTAGGCCTTCTGGTCATAGTCCCGACCGAAAAGAATAGTCGATCGGACCTCGCCTTGAGGGATCCACGGCACCTGAGTCGACCACCCGATGGTCAGCTGCTCTGCGGCCGAAGAAGACGAAGCACGCGCCGCTAAGACCCCTCCGCTTGGGTAAGTGTCAACAGTCCCCCGCAGGAGCTTCATGTCACCCAATAGAGCACTCAGCAGGGAGCTCTTCCCCGCGCCCCTCGCCCCCAGCAGAACCACGATCTCGTTCCTCTGCAGCCGCAGTGAGATGTCCTTGAGACGGAAGCCTTCCGTGCTTCCGTCGCCCCGCCAGCTGAACGTTGCCTTTCTGGCACACAGGACGTCGGCATCATCGATATGAGACGATTGCGCGAACGAGCCGCCGCTGTCTACATGAGAAAGCGATGGTGATGAAACTGGCGATGGGCCGATGACAACTGGTGTGGTCAGGGGCGTGGCGCCAGCCGCTGGGGCGTGCGAGAGAGCAAGGAAGTCCTGCAGGCGCTGGAGCGAGACGCTGGCCTCGAAAGCATATTTGAGGATGAAGGGCAGCCATCCCAACGCTCCCCCGACTTCCTGCATGATCTGTTGGACGGTGATGAGCATCGATGAGCTCACGCCGAACGGCTTACCCTGATGCAGGCCGACAAATAGAGGGAATGCGTGTGGCAAGCACAGATAGAGTGTCTTGAGTGTCTTGCTGTTGTGCTGACCTCTTGTGCCTGTTCGAGGACGTAAGTTGCGAAGAATACATAGAGGGCCATGCTGACCATGATGCCCTCACAGAACCAGGCGAGTCTGTTGCAAGCCAGCCGGGCCGTCGTGGCCGACACCTCGGGTATCCGCACCTTGCGAATCCTAACGATCACCGGCTCCATAAAGTTGATGATGCGCAAAGTCCGGATCTCCGTCAAAGCCTCGTTCCACAACTCAGTGCGCTTATCCTTCGACAGCTGCACAAACACATAGCATACGCACACACATGAACAATGGCCAATAGATACAGCTTCGAAGTGTACGCATGAGTGTGTCTGGCCGCTGACCATCATAGGCTTCCTCAGGGCGGCGCTGATGGCGCACAGGATGAAAACGATGACAATCATGGCCAGAACGGTGACGAGCGGAGCGATGGTCGATGACCTCCCTCCCCCTTCGCGCGACAGCAGCCAGAAGGAGAAGCCAAGTTTGAGTGGAAGCAACAGACACGTCAGCGCTCCGTCTGTGAGCCACTGGAGAGGGTCCAGGTCGTTCGTTATGAGGGTATAAAGGCTCGCGCGTTCCCCCTTGCCGTCCGTACCGGTGCCCTCTCGCTCGTCAGTGGGTCGGTTGCTGGCCTTGCCGGTCGTGTCGAGGCCACGGTGGAAGATGGTGGTGATGAGGCTCTGGCTCAGCCGCAAGTAGAGCCGCCACGTCATGAAGTCAAAGTGCACGTGCGTGAGGATCTTCAGGAGGCTCAGGACAAGCAACATGAGACGAGAGCCAAACTCTGCAGAATGAATGAGTCAGTCAGTCAATAATAATGAACGAATCAATCCGACGGATTGATTGCCTGTCGTGACAGCCAGCCACTCAATCAGTGACTGACTGACTGACTCACTCACTCACTCACCGTTGAGCAGCTCAGCGTTTGTGTGGCCCTGTGCTGATTCAGCAAAGCCCACAACATTCTTGAGCTTGTATATGTACATGAGACCACATGCGTCGTTGAGCACACGGAGAGCCAAGCACTGCAGCAGGGGCACCCAGAAGGTCCGCATCAGCACTGGGAGAACCCGAGGCCGGCGGCCCTTCTCCTCTGCTCGCGCCTGCTCACGAGAGAGCTGATGCTGCATGACATGTCACGTACAATCGGAGCGGCAATAGTGAAGCAACGGACAGTGCTACAGTGTGCGCATGTTGTCTTTCGCTCACTCACCTCGAGTCTGTCCGCCCAGAGGAAGGGTGCATCGCAGTCAGACAGGTGTGGCACCACCTCGGTAGTGTCATCGCCCTTGGACGTCTTTGCCCACCTCAGCGAAGCAGACTGAGCGGCGAGGTACGGCCCGACCCAACTGATGAAAAACACATGCAGGGATGCGTTCAAACTTCACAGCCGTGTTTGCTGTGGGCTTGTGTGTCTGGTGTGTGTGCTAGCCTGATGAACAGCCGGCCGAGGAAGGACGCCTCCTGCTCAGGTGCCGACGCCTCGCACAGCTTCTTAGCGCCACGCTGTCTGCCGCTCCCGTCATCAAGCAATGGCTGTCTATCGGCCGCGCCATTCTTTGTGTTCCGTCGCTGCATCAGGACTCAGGTCGTCAAAGAGTTGTCGTGCTTGCCATAAACGATTGTTGGCCTGCTGCACGATGCCTAAGGACTACCAAGACAGATCTGCGCGCGCATCGATCCAATTGTCGAGATTCTCGACAGATTAACCACGCGCTTCTCCCCAGCGCCATACAGGCAAAAAGGCCGGCTGCGAGTCCTCGCTGCGATAATGTGATGAGCAGCCACTAACAACTACAGATCACCGACAAACGCTTTATGTCAACCAAACCAAAAAGCTGTCTGTCTGTCTGATTGTCCTTGTCGTGCGTGCTGTATGTACACAATCATGATAACACACAGCGCTACGAGCCGTACCGTATGCACATACATACGCATTGCGCCGCACCACACACAGGCTACTCAGGTGCCTCGCTCTTCGAATCATTGCTTGTGGCGTCCCCTCCCCTGCTGCCGCTCGCCCGCTCGCGCGAGAGGCTAAGCTCGGGCAGCTGTATGAAGGACTGACCCCTGGGGACGCTGTCGCGATGAACCTTGACTTTAGCGCGGCCGACGGTGACCCTCTTGGCCCGCAGCTTCTCCACACACTCCTCAAGGGTCACTGGCAGCCCCCTGTCCTGCGTACAGTCGCGAACACGCGCCCTCGCCACCTTGTCACCCATCCGAGTCAGCTTCCTGCACACACACACACACACACACACACACGAACGCATGTCACAGGTGGCCCCTTGCCAGCGGTATCTCACTTACTCTCTGGCGATGTCGCCAAGGAAGATGGCGGCGAACAGCACCTTGTCAGCGCTCGTGGCGTGGTGGTTTCTGGGCGAGCTGCGGAAGTCATGCCGCCGCCCATCGCCGCTGCGTGGGGCCGTTCTCGCCTCCCTCTCGCTCTTGCCGTGCGCGACAGGGCTCTCGCAGACGTACAGCTCGACGACGGGCGTCTGCCAGGACGTGGGGGCGACCGGAGCTGGTGGGGCGATTGGGGAGAGGAGGTGTGTCGACGAGGATGAGGGGGAGGCCTCGTCGGCCTCGGGGTCGCTGCCGTGCCGCCGGGCCACGGGTGTGTGTGTCTTAACCGCGTGGTCGAGACGCTGCTGCTCCAGCCACAGTGCAAGTCGCGCCTGGTTCAGACACGGACCGACACGAAATAAGGGAGGGACCCATGTGTCGACTGGCCGGTTTCTCGCTCACTGGCCTACCGGGTCGTCGAGTGCGATGTTCTTGGGGCATTTGAAGATGATGCTGTGGCTGAGCTGCGATGCGCGAGCGGTGACGTCAAACGCACTCTGAACACAGACACGACACGCCGCACAGTCCACGCCTTGCGGTGCTTTTCCTTCATCGCCTCAGCGTACCATCTTGCCGTCAGCCATGCGTTCGATCATATACACACACTTGTCCCTGTAGGCCTTGCCGCCCCACGGCAGGTCCAGGAACACCTACACAAAGAAAATACAGTATCTTCCACCCACCAGTGCTGTGACCGTGCTCCCGTATGAGCTGGCTGTGTGCCGACCAGGTCGAAGCTCCCGCCGCCGCCCAGCCCCAGACCCTCGAGACGCTCCACCATACGGTTGTAGTCGGCGCAGAAAACCGAGCATTTCGAAGAAACGCCTGACAGAGCATATATTCAACGAGTCCACACACGTAGCGCACGCCAGATGAAGCCAGCTCAGCTCCTCCCTCTTGCCGCTGTGCCGTACCGTAGACGTCGGCATTGGCGTTTGCGTACTCGACGTGCTCTCTCTCGATGTCGCTCGCCACCACATTCATGCCGTGGGCAGCGAAGGCGACCATGTTGCCACCCGCACCCCCAAAGCCATCATACACCACACCACCGGGAAAGATGTCGGCGCAGTCGCGCGCCATCCTGTCGGCGATGGGCTCGGGCGTGATGGAATAGCTGAGCGGCGTACATACACCAACACACAGAAATGATTATTGAGTTGACAATGCGTTGGGGTTACTCACCGCATGACATCGTTGTAGCGCACGCCATCCTTCTGGAAGAGCCAGTGGTCGTAGTCCGACTCGTTGATGTCCCTATCGCACTCCACAATCTTCACCACCACCTCACCAGTGACGGCCCCATCGTCTCCGCCGCCCTCCCGCGCAAGACCGCTGCACCGATCTTCGCTTCTAGAGCAAGATCCGCTCGACCCATCCTCGCAGTCACCTCGGCTGCCGATGTGGATGCTGTTATTCCGCGAAGGCGCACCCAGCCACTTGGCCTCTCGCAGGATGGGTGAGCTGTCACCCAGATTAGGGAAGTCACATCGCCGCCCTGGCCGTGAAGTGTTCTGTGGCGTGACAGGCTGCTTCTCTGGGGAGGGCTTCTGTGGGGAGGGAGGAGGGCCTGGCGTACATGAAGCGGCCGGCGCACTCCGCGGAGGTTCGCTGCTCTTGTTCCACACGTCTTGTAGCGGTGTTGACCATCTCGATGGCGCACTTGCTCGAGTGCCGTCGCTTGCTCCCTCGGCACCTATCAACGTACGGCAACAAACAGCCAGATGAGCAAGCGATACCCTCAGCCACGGCTGATTCTGTTTGATGATTTTCTTACCAGTGGTCTCTTTCTTCTTCTGAATGGATGTTCCAGTGGATGTGTGACGAACACACTCCATCACGGACGGACGCGGCCTGTGGCACTTGACACTACCCCATCTTCTCTTTTACTTTTGCGAGCTCAGCGCGAGGGAGCGGGAGATCATTTTTGGCTTTTAAGGTAACGGAAAGCGACCAGATCGTCTGATCTCGAGTCTAGCGGGAGATCAGTCCGACGGCTGATGCAAGTAGCGGCTGGACGGACGAGCCGCCTTATTGCCGATGTCTGAGTCGAGGAGTGCACGCCCGTCTGGCGACCACCGGGATGGAAACAAGGCCGATCTCGGGAGGCGTTCGAGCCAGAGGGGCGGGCCATCGGTGGAATCGTCTGCTCTGCTGCCAAAGGTGCGCACAGCACATGCACATGAGTGTATGTTGATCTCTCTGTTCCATGTGTGTTCGGTTGTGTGTGATGCACCCACAACACAGGCGACAGGCATCCATTGTGTTGTTGATCAGGTTGGCCGAGTTGACCGTCCAGCAGCCACCCCATTCATCCCAGCCTCCCTCGTCCAGCAGCTCAGCTGCCCCTCCCCCACAGCAGCCACAGCCACACCCACAGCCACACCAGCCACACCAGCCACACCAGCCACAGCAGCCACATGGCGGCAGTGGTGACGACACGGCTGGCGAGTGTGTGATCTGTTTCGGCGAGCACGGCGCTGCGTCGATCCTGTATGTGCCGTGCAAGCACCTGTGTGTGTGCGGCCACTGCTATGCCGATCGCCGGCGGCGCCACGAGGCTCGGGTGAGGCGCATTCGGCGGCACAACGCCCGAGCTGAGAGCGAGGCCGACAAGCGGCCCATCCCCAAGTTCGAGTGTGAGATCTGCCGCGAGCAGGTCGGCTTCGCCGGCACTCAGGCAGAGGTCCTCCAGTGGAGCGGACAACCATTCACTTAGACAGACACCACTCTTGACGAGTGAGTTGTGAAGGTTTTTGTACCATCATGGAGCTAGATGGTGTGCACGTTTTTTACGCACCAAGTGTGCTCTTTGTGTGTGCATGGGAAAGACTGTGGAAGGCAGCGTGGTCGTCTAGGAGATGTGTATGTATTGTAGTGTACCATTCAGGTTTTGCACTGGCCCGTTTGTCGCATGGCAGGTCTGTCTGTCTGTCTGTCTGCAGCGGCATTCATTGTGGGGGGTTGTGGAAGGAAGGGAGAGACAACAGGACGACACTAGGTAGGTATGTACGCGACGTGAAGGCATCTATCAGTCAGCGCATATCAGTAACACGTAGTGTCATTGACACATTGAAATCGGCATGAATGAATCCGGGCATGAATCCGATCACCATGCACACCACACCGGCAAGAGCCAAGAGCCGGTCATCAGAAACACCATCATGAGACATCAGTTGCCAATGAGTGAATGTCGTGAGTCCGAATGACGATTCTGTGAGATCAGACACCCATGCATCCATCGGTGTCCATTGCAGCACCGTACACCCACCCACGACGCACACCGACATGCAATGGCCGGCATGACATGACATGACGCAGAGGGGGGCATGGCATGCAGATGACCGGCACCCACCCACATGACTGACGGAACGAAAGAAAAGAGGCACTCACGTGTAGGCAGGCTATGGACAGACAGGCAGGGCACGCAAGTAGAAAACTCTGGACATTGTCATTATATGCCGAGAAACAAACACCAGGTGAATTCAACGAAATGGGCCACACACGTGTGTACGACAAAATGTGTTGGGTGGGAGGGAGGAAAACCTCACTGGAGCGGACATCCCCAGGGAGGGCAAAAACTTGCATCTCCGATGATGCCACTCATTCACTCACTCCTCTCACTGCGACACTCAAAAGCCATCTAAAGAGGCCCATCCCACCCCTCGACGTCGTCTCTCCTCTCTCCTACAGGCCCTCTACTCTAACACTCTGTCTTGTCTACAGGCCCTCTACTCTAACACTCTGTCTTGTCTGTCTGCTATGTGACCATCATGTCTGTCTATGCTATGGTATGCTATTACCCAAGGCAGAAACTTGCAGCAGGCGTCTCGTCATCGACTCGTGGCCACCCGCTCCCTCACATGCGCCTTCTCAGCCTCTGCACAGCACAACCAAGACACACATCACATCACATCCCACAGACCAAACCATACATACCACATCCCCTAGTGTCTCTCTTCTCCCTCGCCCAGGTTGCCCTGTGTGCGTACCCATTCCTGTCCCCACTTTTGTTCCCAGTCGCTGTTGCCCTGCTCCCAGTTGTTGCCGTCCTGGCCCGCGCCCCAGTCCTGCTCACCGCCCCAGTTGTGCTTGGGGTCGCCGTCCGGCCCCCCGGCGTGCACGGGGTCGGGGTTCGCCTGGCCCGGCTGCTGCTGGAACTGCGTGCAGTCGCCTTCCAGAGCCGCTGGCTCACCCGCATCGGCAAACTTGAGCGCCTCAGAGTTGGCGCTGCACGCACGGCTGAAGTCAACACACGCGCAGAGCAGACACGCCAGGACGGAGGACGCGTCAAAAGGAAAGGGGCGTGGGCTGTGCAGCGTTGCTGGCTTTAAAGGAGCTCACCGCGTTGCTTCGCCCTGCATGCTGTTCTGTTCGATGCAGAACCTGAAGGCGACGTCAGCGGCGGTTGGCTGGTTGACAATGTAGTATCGGCTGTGGATGGTGGCGTTGGCGAAGTCGCTCATGTCCTTGGGCCACGCGCTGGGGTAGCCCTCCTTTGCGAAATCGTAATACATGCCGGCGTCAGTAATGTTGGCCTCCTGATGGACCACAGAAACAACAGACAGCACAATGATCAATCAGCCGACACTCATGGTGGTAGCGTCATGGCCAGGCATCCGTGTGCCCACGTGGTCGTAAAGGACGAGCTCATCGCCCTCCTGCTCTGACATGACGGCTTCTGGCAGCCCCTCGTAGGTCTCCCATCCGCTGAACTCGGCGCCTGGCTTGACGGCCACGACGGTCGCGCGCAGGAAGAGCGGGAAGTAGTCCTCGGCGCGGTGGCCGCAGAAGTCCCACTGCTTCTTGGCATTGCTCACCAGGCAACCTGGCAAGCAACATGACGCAACCACTCACTCACGTGTGATGCGAATCGGACGCGGTGCTGGGTGTGTCGTGCCCACCAAAGTTGGAGCACTTCTGGTTGTCCGCGGAGAGCACGTCGACCCCCATCCTCGTGAACTCTGCACCACCACAAGAGACAGAAAGAGCCGCCAGGCTCAGTCAGCCAGCGCCGTTAGACCACCCCTCCCTGCCTCCCTCGCTCCTCTGGTTGTGCGTCATATCATCTTACGGTCAGCCATCTCCCACTCGACGGCTGAGCTGGCCTGGAACCACAGGGAATAGTCCCCCTGATCCACCACCAGGTAGTCCACCTTGGCCTTAGTCGTGTCTGTGGTGTCCGCGGCGTCGTCAGCCATAGTCACGTCGTCAGCCACAGTGGTGTTGGTGTCCCCGGGAGCCTCCGTCACCGGCCCCTGTGCGTATGCGATGGCCACCAGGGCGGCCGCCAGCTGGAGGACGTGCACAAGCCTGCCCATGGCGGTGGTGCCTGTCAGGGGTGGGAGGGACTGCGGAGGGGTGGGGGGCCGGGGGGCGGCGACAGCGATGGGGTAGACAAGTAAAGACGAACAAGGAGGGCAGGCCGCAAGACTATCCGGCAGAACGGCAGAAATGCCGTTGCAAGAAACTGGCCGGCCAGTTCGCAGCCGTTGGGGATCGGCGGCCAAATTTTTCTCTCGGTGACAAGTGGCAACCAGCGACAACATTCTCACCCACCCACCCACCCACGCACGGCCAGTACCAAAACAAGAGTGACAATGCGTGGAATTTACTTGTGTCATTGCAGTCACGCGGACACGGAGAAAGAGAAAAGACTGTAGCACCACAGCACAGCCGCCATGGCCATCGGCATCAGGAGATCCTAGCCGTGTTGAGCATCCAGCCAGGAGTTCCGCTGGCTGAGGCGCCGCGCCGCTGGAGGAAGTTGTCGTTGGTATGCAGCCCGCACCGTACCATGGGAGCCGCACTGCAATGCTAGGGGGGCTGCAGGCATCGCGAGGATATATGCACTCACTTGTCGCGTCTGTCGTCTTGTTGTGTCTGCAGAAATACCACCCGGACAAAGGCGGCGACGTAGAGAAGATGAAGGAGATCAACGAGGCCTACCAGGCCATCATTGCCGAGTTTGAGAGCGGACAGCACGGCAACACGGATGACACCGAGGTCGGCAGCCAACCACGACACAGATACACATCCTACCCTGCCCACCTCTCTGTCGTTGTGTGTTCTTGTGTGTACGTATCTGATGGGTGGGTGCATCGCATCAGTTGAGGGCAGCGCGGGACGAGGTGAGCACCACCCACCCACCCACACGACTAACCGACATCCAGACCAGACAGCCCACCCCCACGCTCTCTGCACTCATCCCTCTCTTCCCTGGTCTTTGTGTGTCCCGCGACCGACAGTGTGACGAGCATCTTCGCGAGTACTGGCGGTGGCGGGAGGAGATGAGGAGGCTGGAGGGGGAGTGGAAGAGGAAGGTGGACCATGCTGCGGCGTTGGTCGCCGAGGTGGGGCATCGGCTGGCCATCGACACCACCACCACCGCACACACCACCACCGCGCCCACCGCCAACCCCAGCAGCACACACCCCACCACCACAACCAATACCGTGCAAGAGGGCCCCATCATCGAGGGGGAGGAAGGAGGCCGCCATCGGCGGGACGGGCTGCTGCAGCTGCAGCTGGGGGTGCTGGGGGTTCTTCAAGATCCTCCGCAGCCCCTTCGGCTGCTGCTGCCCCACCACAGCCCACTGATGGGCTGTTGCTGGCGGGGGCGTGTTGTTAGGCGCGAGCCCCCAGCAGCAGCCCATCAGAACTGACTAGATGGTACAGACCACACACAGAGAGTCGCCACCTGATAGACAGCCCATTTTCTGTAGCCGCTGATGGATTCATTGACCGCATCGACATACATCCGTTAATGCAGTGCAGACACACAGTGTGTGACGGGTCGGCGGAGGGGGGAGGGAGGGAGGGAGCGGATTGCTGAGTGTGTACTCTTATTTGTGCATTTATGGGGTGGATTGCGCGTGACTGGGGATATAAAGAGCTCACATAAGAGTTCGTGTTTCATCTCATCCACTGGCGCATGTGTCTCTCTACCGTTGGATATGCACACAACTCACTCATTGACGCATCCATCCATCCATCCACACACACAGCCACGCATCAAAAATCATGCAACACAACATGCACACCGCAAGCAAGCATAGTAGGGAGGTCGGTCAGCCCAGCAGCAACGTGCTCTCAAAACTGCACACACAGCCACTCCCAGCCCTCCTCTTGATTGATGTGTGCACGGCACGTATGCGCGCCCCTCCGTCAGCGACGGACCAGGCGCTCTTTGTCTGCCCACCCATCCATCCACGACTGACACACACACACTCTCATTGTACACACCCACCGCGTACCCCCCACCGACGCGATGCGCGAAACGCTGCGCACGTCCACC